TCGTGAGTGGTTTCTGAAGGTCATTATGTCCAGGTCTTTTCTCTTGGGCCAGGTAATGCCATCAGTCCACTTAAAATCTATAAGCCTGGCTGAGGAAACTGTGTGAGTTGAGAGTTCCAGGTTCCCAGGCTGAGCCAGGTATCTGGGCACCCACCCACTGTGCCAACCTGCAGGCAGAGACTCCCTCCCACCTACAGCGATAATTGACCGGAGCAGGATCTTAGGGTGTGACTCACCCAGATGTCTGCACTACCCCATAATCTGAACAATCACCTTCCTCATTATCCCAAGACAAACACATTCTCCAGTATCTCCTGCCTCTAGGTAGAGGATTGTTCCACGTCTGACAGTGATATTCAGCAAGTCAGTTCATGTTCTGGTTTCCTAAAGTCTGTTTTGCAAGCGTAACACAGGTTTGGGATCCACTGAGGGTTTGCTTTCTCTTTTTGGTTAAAGTGGAGATAACTTTTTAAAAGCACATTTTTCTTTCATTTCCGGGGACTTGTAGCAGGATAGAAATGGTCCTTCAGCCTTGCATTATTCTCTGCAGTTTGCATCCTGATTATAAACTGGTATTTTTAAATAAAGCCCCTTCTAAATTATCTTTTGGTAATTTTCATATCAGTGTGTCTCATATTTAGTCTGTAAGATTATCAGTATTAACTTTTTATTTGTCCTATTTTCTGTAAATATTTCTAGAGTAATTTCCTTTTTATTTTAACTATTTTATTTTTTTAGGGTAAAGAAATTTCACATTTTGATATAATGAATTTTGTCCCTAATTTCCTCTCTTGAAAGCTAATTTATAAATGTCTAAGTCCACAATTATTTTCTTCAGTTTTTCCTGTAATGTAGGCTTTAAATATTTATCTTACTTACCTTGAAAGTATTTTGTAATTTTCTTTTGATATGTAAATGTATTCTCCCCAAAAGTTTGCAAATTGGTAGGTAGCTATCTCAATATTTTTATGAAGTAATTTTAAACCTCATTTGTGTCCCCATCATGTATTAAATTTATTTGTAAAATGTCCTACATTTTTGTGATTTCCAGCCACGTCTTTCATATATTTTCTCTGCACGCCCATATTCATATTTATCAATTATTTTAACATCATAGACCTATTTTTTTTTTTTGTGGTCCCGGAAATTTGAACTCAGGGTGTTGCACTTGCCACACAGATGCTGTGCCACTGAGCTATATCCCCGGCCCCACAGACTTAGCTTAATTCATTTTTCTTGGGCTATCCGATTTTTTTTTATTAATCCATAAGTTGATTTAGTTTCATTTTTCTTTTTCAATGATTATTAATAGTTTTTCATTTATGCATTTTACAGCTCTTTTGAGCTAGTTCTGAATATTAAAGGATGAATAAGGCTAGCCTCTAGTCTTCAAGGAGCACACAACCTTCAAGGACATGATCAATTCAGGCTGAGAAGTTAAAGAAGAGTCTTGAAAGCGCATGCCAGAAGGACAGAGTAAGCTTAAGAAGGAAGAGTTTAATTTGGATCTTAATTTAGAGACAGAACTTCACCAGGGCAATAAGCAGATGAGCAATAAGGATTCTAGATGTGAAAACAAAAGCAGTGGAGAGGAGCCACACACGGGGACGGCTGAGGCGTCGGATGAGGGCATGGAGAGTAGCTTGAGTATTACTCTTCAATTCTAGTGGAATTTTACAATAATTTAATAAAGTTGAAAACCAACTCTATTAAACTCTTCATCAGGAAAATGCTGATTTTATTAGGTAGACCATAATTATGGAATTGAATCAAATTTTCAGATAATGTTATGTGTTGAAGAATGACACGGTGAACATACTGATATGTGGATGATGTCCATTATTAAAGTTAAAACCCAAAGAGGAAAGACAACCCCTTTTCAAGAATTGTCAACTTTAAGACAGGAAGCAATGCTGGGCATGGTGGTAAGTGCCTGTAATCCCGGCTACGCGGGAGGCTGAGGCAGGAGGATTGTGAGTTTGAGCTCAGCCTAAGTCACTCAAATGAGTGACTTAGTGAGACCTTGTCTCAAAATAAAAAAATAAAATGGGATGGAGATGTAGCTCACTGAGAGGCCCTTTGTTCAATCCCCACTGCCACCCTCCTTCCTCCCGCACAAAGGGAACAAGATCAATGTCAATTGTTCTGATTTTATTGACTCTCCCTGTAATTCTCCACTAGTGTGAAGTCCACTACAGCGATATAGATTACCAGTTCCACCAGCCAGCAAAGCCCTGGAGAATGGGAGCCATTCTACAGTAATAAGGGGAAGGTGGAAGCAAGAAAGGACAACAGTAGCAATACACTAGCTTCTTTTGTGAATGCTGATGGTGAAATGATAGAAGCGGAAGGTATTTCTGGGAATAGTACGGGCATACTATATCAAGAATTTTCTTAGGTTCTAACCTGATGTGATAATCATTTCAAGATACACATATCAAACATTGCACACCTTAAATTACACATTTTTGTTGTTGTTGTTTTGTGGTACTGGGGATTGAACCCAGGACCTTTGCATGGAGCTACATCCCCGGCCTTTTTGTAATTTTTTTTTAAAAAAAGCTCTTCCTAATTCACTAAGGAGCCTAGGCTGGGCTTGAACTTGTGATCCTCCTGTCTCAGCCTCCCAGGGTGTTGGGATTACAGGTGTGCACTACTGCACCTGGCTAAATATGTATATATTTAAATTCTAAAATATGCTTTAATAAAGCTAATGGGGAGTTCTTAACATGTTTAGAAGACAGAAGAAAATGATTCTGATAGACATGGAGAAAATGAATGCTAAAGAAGGAAAACCCACTTTAGAGTAGAGGTCCAAAGAGGTGTTAATGCAGAGGGGTAGATGGTGTACACTGACGTTTGGTTCTTCCAGGAGGTTGGAATAAAAATTCTCCCTCTGGGCCACTCTCATCAGAATCCAGGAAAGGAGATACTGGTAAACTCTCCAGACTATTCTAACTAAAGTGAGAAAACCATGGTTTAGTGCAATGGGAGTTTCTCTAGATGGTGTATTCATGTGACTAGGAAACCTTGGTGTTGCTTTTGTTGTTTCTTGTGGCACTGAGGGGGAACCTCATGTATTTAGGGAGGAAGCAGAAATGGGTGAACAATGGAAGAGGTAAGAGAACTGCTGATCAGAGTCCCCCTTGATGGTAGCAAGCAGGAATATGTGCCAGAGAAGTCGCCACACACCAGAGAACAGTTGAAGGTGCTTCTGGGCTTCTTCTAGGGTAAAGGGATTCTACCTAAAGACTGCGCTATCTCTTCTCTGTCAGGCTCTGGGGAAATTGCTAAAGCAAAGACTTAAAGAAAACTTGAAAGATTTCCCTTCCTTGTGGATATAAGAAACGCACCTTTCTTTCTTGGCAAACAGAGTAAACAATGCTGATTGCTGTATACAATCCTGTGGATTTGTGTATTCTGAATTTTAATTCCACATAGTGATGATGAGCCTGCCAACATGTCAGGCCAGATGTCCCTCTGCTAGTTGTGGCACTGTTTTGTTCATAGACACTGCTGTTCCACCTGCAAATCCTCTGAGATGAGCAGCTTTCCTTTTTGTGGAAGAAATCCAGAGTCACAAGACCTTAGTCTAGCTCTCTGTCCTTTTCTAGACTTTTCTTGTCCTGTTTTTTTCTTTTCTTTCACTTGAGCTATCTCAGCAGCCTCTTGTTTGGTCTCCACCTTGCCCACTGTCTCCCCAAGATTATCTTCTATAGCTGTTTTTTTTTTGGATACCATCTGACAACTCTAGTAAGTGTTGTGAGTAGTCACTGCTGTAAAGGTTCACTGCCATCTTGCGTCTGAGCAAATTAGAGGGACATAAAAAGTTTTTGCATCCGGGCATGGTGGCGCACACCTGTAATCCCAGCACTTGGGAGGCTCAGGCAAGAGGATCATTGCGAGTTCGAGGCCAGCCTGGGCTACAGAGTGAGCTCAAGGCCAGCCTGAACTGCATAGAGAGACCCTGTCTCAAAAAGACAAAAAAAAAAAAAAAAAAAAGTTCTTGCAACATGTCTTTCCTTTAACCATGGTCCCCACCATCCCTACTTCTGATATTCCAGGGATAGTGGCTGCTCATCTTGGTCACAGTACACTAATGCACTCTTGCTGCTGACCAAACCATGCCATCCAGGGTAGGTGCTACTCTTCCTGTGGGTTCCCAAAGGAGAGGTCATTAAACACTGTCCCTCTCTGCAGCTTTTGCAGACCCCACTCTCTCTTCCAAGGCGGGATTAATTGTTTTCATCTTTCTTCTATGGTACTTTATATAAATATCAACATGGAGTAGCATATTATACTCATTTATACTTTGGTTTCCACAACTGGACTTGAATTTTTGAGATGGTAAAACTGGGTCATTAATACTGTACTTCCTCAATGTCTGACACACAGGGGGAACACTGCAAATTTTGCTTGAGTGCATTTGAACCAGAGGTCCTGTCTTTATGTAATCCAAACTGAAAAGTAGAGCTCTTTGGAGCAAGCAAGGTGGACAGCTCTCTGTATTATGTTATAATGGTAGCAAGTCCTTTTTTTTCAATGTATTATATGGTTACAGCAACATTGATTAACCTGAGTATTTATTTTGGTGGGCATTGGAGTTGTAGAAGTCATTGCTTTGATTTGCGCATCAGGAAATGAGCCCTATGCTGTGTCAGACCACAAATGTAGTTTTTATCAAGACCCCAGCCGAGAACTTTTATGAACTGAGGAGTACTAAAACATTTTACATTCCAGACCAGATACACTGTGGGAAAGAACAGAATGTGCAGAGTGTTTTTGCTCAGAAGAGCTCTACTGAGGAATGTTAAACTTGAGTTTAAGGCACTGGGGTCTAGGAATGCCAGGATAATTGGTAAGTTCATAGAAGATTTTAAATACAATTGAAATGTTTCTCCCGTGCTTTGCTGAGATGATTTGCTCCATCAGAAAGCAATAGAATGGATTTTAATGATTTTCTTTTCTTGAGATTTAATTGAGCCTCTTCTCTCTAATAGGTTTCAGAACCTCCTCTGGTCCAGAAAGACATTTGTGGACAACATGAAAGTCTACAACCACAGTTACATCTACATGCCTGCCTTTTCTATGAAGACGGGAACAGAGCCATCCCTCCGGGTTTATTATACACTGTCAGATGTTGGTGCCAATCAAACAGTGCTTTTTGCCAACCCTAACTTTCTGCGTAGCATTGGAAAGTTCTGGAAAAGTAGGGGAATCCACGCCAAGCGCCTGTCCACAGGACTCTTTCTAGTGAGCGCAGCCCTGGGCCTCTGCGAAGAGGTGACCATCTATGGCTTCTGGCCCTTCTCAGTGAATATGCATGAGCAGCCCATCAGCCACCACTACTACGATAATGTCCTACCCTTCTCTGGCTTCCATGCCATGCCAGAGGAATTTCTCCAGCTCTGGTACCTGCATAAAATTGGTGCACTGAGAATGCAGCTAGACCCATGTGAGGAGCCTGCAGTCCAGTCCACTTCCTAGGGACAAAGGAAAAAGAAAGGAATGATCCAGGGTATTTGTTAGGTTTTCTATGTGACTCTGAAGGGCAACGTTCAGGTTGTTGCACGGATCCCTATGTGCTGCTTGGAAGGATGAGACAAGAACAAGAAAAGCTCAAGCAGAATTTTACTTTTAATGTTGGCTTGGAAGACAAGAGATGAAACGTTCTGTGAAACATTTTGCAGCACATGTGGATTTGCAACTAGGAAAAGCCCGATGACGATGTTGGCAAAGCACATTTGTATGATTCAAATCTAGAAGATGCAATTCAAGAAAACAAGATGAACTCTAGCTGTTGAGACTGAGGAGCTAGTCAAGGTAGAACTAAAAAAAAAAAAAATATGCCAGGGCAAAAGTGTGTTGCTGATTGTCAACACAAATGAGCTTAATAATTCAAAAAGACCTGTCTTATTAAGACTGGTACTAGGACTATAGGTTTTTAAAACTTATTATTTATTTTTGCCCTATTTAGGGGCAGAGGGTGGGTGATGGGGTAGATTTTAAAAAGCCCTTATTGAATAATAAGGATACAAAAATTACAGTTGATTATTGTGATTTGTTGAACCAAGTCTATATTAACTATAGCTTCCCTCTGTTTCTAAAATTTTAAGTAAGAATTGCTTCTTCCTCTTCTGTCAAGTCTACTTGGATGATGTGAAGCATTGTTGAATTTAGACTGTGTCGATTCATTGTCTCGGTAACCTGAGCCACTTTTCCTCCTCAGCATTAGGATATAAACTCAATTTTAGGTCTGCATTATGGAAATCCGTTTGCAATTGTTACTATTATTTTAGTGCAAAAAGACTACAAATGTAAGTGCGTTATTGATTTGTAAATGAGCATAATCATCTTCAAAAATTTAATGTTCAGAGATGGAGTAAAGCACAATGACATAAAGCTGAGCCTCTGCAGAAGACAGACCAAAAGGGAAATCATTTTTCTGTGTAACATGGCGTTCACTCCAAGATAAATCATACGTGTGCATAGATGCATATAGACACGTTACACAAAGTTAAACAAAGCTCCTTCTCGTGTAACTATGAAAGATGAACCCACATGACCTGGTATAGCAAAAATCTGTAATCAATGTTGGCAGCCACAGTACTTACACCCCACATGTTATATAAGACAAGCCAGCTTAGTGGTTGCTGCTCATAATGTGCATACCAGCATAAGATGCAAGGCTTACCCCCAAACGCTTAATCCAGAATGAGCAGAACTGTTTTATTCATTCTGACTCCCACCCAAATCCGATAAATGGGCCTTGGGTTAAGCATGGTCACACAAGTCATGGTTTATACAAGGGGTATACATTAGTAACTCTTTCTTTAGCCGAAGGTAGAACTACTGAGGCAGCTTAGTTCAGCAGACTTGCCACACAGAAAGAAAATGCTATGGACAGATTCCAGTCTGCTAAATATAAGATGTAAAGGAACTTTCCCATCGTCTTTGTGGTCTAGGATATCTTAAGCTAAAAGGAGACACTCAAACTCATAGTTTGATCAAGTGTCATAAAAGGTGTAGGTAAACTGTACAGAAAGTTTCTCCAATTTTGATGGTAGAAACTTAGTATACTATAGAGGTGAATGTGAGTATCATTTTTTGTACTCGTATAACGTATGAGGTGTCAAGATAACAAAACCCTGTTTGAGTAGGGGATTCCTAAATGAATGTTGAAGTTATGGTAGAAATTAGCTTTTCTGATGGTGACTGGTTAGCATAATACAGATTATACTGATAATTGGGAAGTTAAGTTTGAGAGTGACTTTTTGCAAACTGGGCTGCTACTTTGATCTGATATAGCAGTAAAAGTATAATGGAGGGTACTAGGAATGAACCGTGTTAAATATTTATTCAGAAACAGCCCTCTTTTGAGTATAATTTCTCTAATGAACTATTATTTAATATTTAAGAAAGGAGTACATTTTTACCAATATACTTCTTCAAAGTGGAAAAGAGCTACAAAACATATACATAAGTTAATCAAATGTCAGATGAGCGCATTAAATTGTAAAATTGTTAAAATATAATCAGTGAGCTCATAAAGCCTGTATGTCACAGTTCCATTAAAAATGCTATCTGGAAGTTTTACGCCTAAGTATAGCTTCTGGGATAGATTTATGCAGTAGATTTAGTAGATTTGTACAATGTTTGTCTGTACATTTTTAAATTATGCTCTGAAATGCAAAACAGCAGTGGCCAGTAGCAGTTATATTTAATTGGACCTGTATTTCTCAACCAAGATGATTCCCATTCCCTTTCTAATGCCATTGAAAATATTTGGAGACATTTTTCACTGTCATAACTCAAGGCTGCTACTAGCTAGAGGTAGGTTGCGTCCATAGATCTTGCTAAATGGGCTACAGTGAACAGGTCAGGCCCTCACAACAAATAATTACCTGATCTAAAATGTCTGTAGTGCCAAGTTTGAGAAACCCTAGATTAGACCAAAATGAAAGTTTGACATTCTACGTTATCTTCACTTAAGTAAACGCATACGTGCTCACGCTATTCAAAGTATGGCTACAGTTTAATGAGAATGTTTCCTTAGAGTAGATTATGGTTTGGTGTTACTTTAGAGTGACAATTCATAGTTATGCCATACATATATATTTTCCTGTGCTTGGTTAGATGTAATTTAAAAAGTCTGTGGTGTGTATGTGTGTGTATCTATGTCTGTGTTTTCATTTGTGTCTGTGAATGTGTGTGTAGCCTGAAGTTATGCATCTTTCCTGACTGAAATATATATGTTCCTAAGTAGGAACTTCTTTAGCATTATCCTGTAGAGTACTCTGGAATACTCTGTTATTATTAAGAAATTGAATTATAAACTTCCATCTGTTAATCTTGTTTATCTGAAATTCGGACCCTTAAAATTGGGTCTGATATTTCCCAAATTTGTTCAATTTCATTTTAGTATTCTGTCTCTTAAGATTCAGCTCAGAAGAATTTGGGTTATAGTAGACACACTGAGCAAGAAACATTTAATCACTTTCAATTCATCTGCCAAAAGAGGGCCTCCTCTCTACCAGCGGACTAATTTTTAAAATTGCTTTGTGTGTGTGTGTGTGTGTGAGACAGAAATTAAGTTGTTTCATGGGGGCAAAGGAAAGGATGGAGACAATAGAAATAAATATCCTGCTAGGACTTCTAATTTTTATTACCACCAATTTGAGAACTGCATTGATTTTAAAGATCGTGAACAACAACAATCTCTGTTAATTTTCATCACATCTCAGCAAAATTATGATAAGTGATGGACTAAATCATTTCATAAGAAAAAAGTGACATTTTATATGAAAGAGTTTTTATATGAAAGAGGACTTGTGGACCTTGTGCTTTATATAGAATATTTTTACCAAAAGTTTATATGAAATTGTGCATCTAAACTGCATAATTCTCCCATAAGAAACTAGGAAAGTGCTCACTGGATTTTGTCTCTATTTGGTTCAGTTTTTAGCTATTTTAACCCACGTAGGAAGTCAGTGATCCAACGTGGCAGATGTTCACACAGTACCCTTTGTTTGGCTTTGTAATGTCTCATGCCCCTTTTTTTGGTGAAAACTTTGTTTAGACTAAATATAACTTGTACCTGTAGCAATCTGGACATTGTGGCTTAAAATGGAAAATAACTGAAGAAATCTGGGCTTCTAAATGTGCCACAAATGTTCTTAGATTTGTCAGAAAGCTTTATAAGAGTGCTGTAGATGACTCAAAACGGAAACACTATCAATAACACTTCTTTTTGGTAGCTGGGGTAGTTTTGTAGCTTTATTATATAGAACCTCCTATTTATATAGAACCTCCTATAGCTTCTAATTCCTATGTTTGAAAATACCAACCTTGTGAAATTTTTAGCAGGCAAATCTTTATTAGGAGCTTTGTTTCCCCCTCAGAATCTAAGCGGGGGTAGGTGGGGGGAATGAGGCCAGTCCACCGAAAACTTCAGCAGGTATTTATTGTGTGGTATAAATACTTTCCCACCAGAACCAGGTAATGTCTACCCTTTGTTTAGAGGATTCCAGTGATCGATAGCTGTGAGGCTTTTGTGGAAACTTGAGGGCAAGAATGTTGAGGAACAAAGGCTGACAGTAATTACTGTACTTCTTTATTCCTTTATCTTCCCAGTGTAGAGATTGACTTTCCCATAGTGTGGCTTTGGGGACAGCACATATCAGAGATGAAAGTGAGTTAACAGTTGCCCCTGCAGCCTCTGTCAGCGCCTGGAGTAGGGTCCGCAGTGAATATAACTAGCCTTGTTGGCAGCTTGGTACCATGGTATGCTCAGGAGAGGGTAAGGCAAGTGGAAAGGAAGAGCTGACCCATCCCCAGGTTGCTGCATGCAAAGGGTCTGAGAAGTCTCTGTCCTTGCACAGGCTGAAGTCTCAGCCTTCCAGGACTATCTGTATGTGCCCTACCAGAGGAGCTGGCTTGATTTGAAGGCTGAGCTACCTATACTGACTAGAAGGGTGGTACGGAAATTTCCCGAGAAGCTTAAATTTTTACACTGCCTTAAACTATTTTGCTTAAAATTATGCTAAGTTGGAATCTGGTGACCCCAACCTAATTATAACCCTGCCAGTGATCATGAAAAGTGAATTTTTTTTTTTACCTGTTTAGAAAGACTTTGTGAGTCCTTGAAACTAGGGAGGTGTAACATACTCAGCCCGTTCCTACACGGCTTCTTTCAGAGTCCTGGAAACAGACTGGCTGGGATTCTGAAGCTGAGAATATGTGTCTATAAACTCCTAAAATTACAAGGCCACAATATGTAGGTTAGGACCATAAAACTTCTTTTTTTTAATGCTGAAGGAGACTTGAATCTATAGGTGTTTTTCTTCCCATTTTAAGAAAATGGAGTTTCTTTGTTGCTTTTGCTGTCTTTTACCGCCGTGAACAGTTGCCCCTCTGCCATGTGCACCCTGCCTTGAAATGAGCCATTGTGGACTAAAACCTTCACACACTGTGAGCTAAATAAACCTTTTCCCCTTTAAAAAAAAAAAAAAAAGGAAAACAGATACTGCCGTATCCTCAGTCTTGGCTCACCTTTTGACGTTTTTATGTATACCTTAGAGATGACAGATTGAAACACATGCATGAATACAAAGCTTATTCCAACAACCCTGTTCATCATTGCAATAAAATATATATTTTTGCTTACATCTTTTCATTTCCTTTTTCTGGTGCCAACACTTGTGATTTCCTATGACACCTAAGGAATAAATAACACATTATAAATTGACTTCTAATATCTGTGAGTGTTTGCATAATAGCTAAAGCCCTTGACTCTTTTTAAAGTACAAAAGAGAAATTATATTTTATGGGCACTTATTTACCAGCCCTCTCTGTGTTCCTATTGATCTCTATGTTGTACTAAAACTCCTTACTGATTTTGCATTTTAGTGGAAGCCGTGGGATCTAATCAATGATGCAAAGCTCTGTGGGAGTTTCATAGAGTAATCCCCAAATATATTGACCCTGTCTCTTCCTGCATCTGTGCAGTTAGGTTCCTCCAGATACTTGTCACTTTTAAGTGTGTGTTTCACACAGCATCTAAGGCAGTGAAAATCAGAAACTAAATCATGTCTTTCTCTGCACAGCAAGATAAACAAAAGATTGTGATTTTAAAAGGTTTAACCAAAATAGAGAGCAGAAGAGGAAATCATGGTTTCAATTTAAAAAGATCTTTGGGAGGAGTCTCAGAAGAGGTCCCCAAGCAGAGACCAAGGAAGAGGAAGTAGTCCTTGAATGCAGTTCTAAGAAGGGAATCTTTTTATTGTCCAGTCTTTATGGACAAGGATGAAACGATGCCAGGGGAGGCAGATTGTGAGACACTCGGGAAGAGGACGGACAGTCCCCTGTCACCCACGTGTGGCCCTGGGCAGTCTTAGGAACCCCCATTTCTGCCCTTCTCGGGGCAGCAGTTTCCTTGGTCGCTGAGCCTTGTGAAGCGAGCATGCCATTCTCATATCCTCCTACCAGCTGCACCTGGGCACATGGTCCTACAGACTCTTACTAAGGCTGCTGTTATATGACACTCTGATAGCAGAAAGTGTCACCTTGAACCTGACCTTTAGAACAGGGTCATCATATGTTATACATAATTGAAGTGAGCTTTAGACTTCTGTCCTAACTAGTACATCCACATCAGGCTCTTGTGTTCATTGCTACTTAAGCAGGCTTACATGTATTTCCCCCTATGTTCTAGAGTAATGGAGGACACACATATGTTTGTGCATGCATGTACACACACACACACACAGACACATTGTTTATGCCTGTGGAAAAGAGGTTGATGGTTGGTTGGAGAAGGGTGGGGAGTGGCAGAGGGTGCCTTAGTTTTGGCTTTGCTCCCATCTCCTTATGTATTTCCTTCATGTACCTCTGTCACTCTATAGATGTATTTATGTCTTATCCAGTTGTCCCTTTGTCATTAGCAAGAACTCTCATAAATGTAGCAAATGTGACTATTCTATAGAAATGCGTCATGGTAGATAGGCCTTGGAGAAGTCTGATAACAGTATGTAAATATCCTTTGTGAAAGTGGTAGAACCTTGTGGTAGAAAAGCCCTTAGGTGATAGTTATAGGAGGACATATTGATTAAGAATATTGGTTTCCCCAGCAAGTTCCAATATTCAGGGATGCAGGAAATCAATCTGTCACAGTTTCTCATGCAGTCTTAAGCACTGATCTTATGAGCTTCCTCATTGGTAGATCACCATAGACACGTCATAATTTATAGGGCTCACAATTTAGGATGATGGATAGCTGTTAGGATCTCTCATGGTCAGAGACACCAGGGAGAAGGGGAGAGAAGAGGCGAATATAGCTCCGTTGAAAAGTGTGGGATATTATTAGAACTCTAGTTAGCATAGAGCGTAGTTGGTGTGAAAACCATTGGGAAAGAACTTTCTCTTTGGTCTCTTTAACTCCATTATTGCGTATTATATATCATCCTACCTGCGTGCAAGCTTCTTTTCCAGAGCAAATTTTCAGAGGCTGGCGGTAAGAAGAACATAAGAAAACTCAAATGCTTCTCTTTCTCGTAGAATGTAGTCTGATAACCAACCGGTTCACTGATGTAATCATTCTGGAAAAGGCTTTAGATTAGACTGTCAATTTGAAATCACCTTTGAAATGTATATGAAATTGCTTCTTCCCATTAAGGCCAGACTCCACTGTGGGGAAGTGTGGAGAAAAATCAATGCTCTTCATTTCTTTGTTTAGAGTTTCCTATAAAATGGAGCAGGTAAGAAAAAAGCTCTAATTGGTACTTTTTATAGTGTGACTTGAAAAAAAAATAGTATCTATCTCTGTTGGTTCTGCTGAATTGGTTCTTTCCACAGAATCTAAATTCAATGTCATAGGAGGAGGTTTGCTATAAAAACATGTCTTTTTCTTTGGTGTGTTCATTGTAATTATGGCTGGGAGTGGAAGGTTCAGTGAGTCTTAATTTCTCTACCTCCCTGACTTGGAGACAATTTGCAAATGTACCCCGTGAATAAAATGATTTTTTAAAGTAACTTGTGAAGTCTTTTTCTTTCTCAGAGGTATATGGATAATTCTATTTTCTTTTTTGCTCCTGTTTTACTTTGCATCCTTATCTGCTGTCCTGTTCTTTTCTCCCCCTTGTGAATGAAAAGTCATGTTACTTACAAAATCACTTTACAGGTACAGAATTTTATTGCTATACATATAATATGAGAACACTCTGATACATGTCATTCAGGGGAAAGGTAGTATCCATTGGGCAAAGTAAAAAGAAAAGTAAGTATTTATATAATGTGATTATATAATGTGGATGAGCCTGCTTTGCTCAGCGATAATAAGTTTTTCTTTTTTGTGATGAGTCAGTACCAGTGTATGTATCCTAGAGATACTTTAATAAATTCCTCACAAGGTGCAAAACATTTAGATTCCCCTTCTGCTCATGAGGGTGACTTTGAAAAGTCCAAATGTGCCTTTGTGTCTAAATTATTTAGGTAATTGCCCACTCCCTTGGGCTGTAGTGGCCCAGTTCTGCCAAACACTTTTCCAGAGGGAGTGACATCACAAAAGTGACCTTGGTCCCTCCTTCGTGATATATTTCTTCTCAGAAGTTGATCAGGATGCTCTGTACAGATCTTATTAATTCTCTGACTTCATTTTCACATATCATAGCTTTCTGGGCAACAGCTATTTTAGGAAAGGATATTCTATTACCTAATGGAAAATCTGCCTAGTGTTTAGCTGAATCATTTGAAGGGGAATAAAAGCAGAGCTTTATGATAAATGTGGGTTATCCTAACCATATGAGAAAAATAGATTTAACTTACTTTCACCAACTATCATTAAGCTTTAAAAAAATTCTAGATTTTACTGAGTCCTGCTGTTCTACTTTGTTTTGATTTCAAGTGCTTAAAAACAGATACTAAGAATTCAAAGGCAGGGACTACTAGGAATCCCCCTGCCAAACCCAAAAAGAGGATAATTATGACTCAAAGACTATACTTTCTCTTGAAAACTTATTATTTTAGGGATACAATGAGATTCTTGTTGATGCAAAGAGTTGAAGATGGAGGATGATTGAATTAAATTATAATTCACATGCAGTTTTCAGGGCTTTTGAAGGTAGGAAAATAAACCCTTTGTTATTCTGTTTATACAGATAGAATGAAAGTTATGGGTTTTTCCTCCATAAGAGTCATGGTTTCTGGGCATGAGTAAAAAAAAAAATCAGCCTCAATATTTGGGAAAAGTTTTGGTGATAAACAGTGCAATCAAAAGTTAGAGTAAAAGGCAATCAAGAATTTATGGCTCTCCATCTAGACATTAGGCAGAAAGATTTCAATCTTTGCATGTGCAGACAAAGGAGACAAGATAGTGTTCTTGATGAGGGCTCAGAGGGGGAGTGGACATTGTACTGTATTTGACTTCCTACCGGGTAGATTACTCATCTCCTGCAGAATGGCTCTCTACCAAAGGTTGAACGCTCGCCTTTGCTATTGTTTGTTTGGTATTGGCAGTGGTAGAAGTCAGATTATCCTTGGTCCCAGTTACTGATATTCCATACATAACCTCCATCCCTTCTACCAGACATACTTGGTATGGAAGCCCTCAGAGGTAGAGTAGTGCGATAATTACAAAGGGGTAATTGTTATTCACTCAACATATTATTTTGTCTGGAACTCTTGTAAATGTTAAGACTGAGATAAGGAATGATGAGAAGTAATTAACAGTGTTGTCTATCGTGGAACATACATTTATTCTAACTGAAACAGACAGTTATTCTGGGGCTTCCTTCCCCATCTCAATGCTTATATCAGCACCCCTGTGTGTGAACTGACAGAATGACTTGTTTACCATTTTAATATCATATGTAATATACAATAGTTTTCTGACCACGGAACATGCATTTCAAAAGCAAAAGAAACAGTTAGGAACGCATGCCAATGGAATTAATTAGAATTACTCTTTTCCATATCATAGAAGATACATTCTCATCAGGAGTGATACTGCTCCCCAAAGCAGCAAAAATTGGTTCAGGAAAGGAAAATAAATCCTAGATATTCCAGTGGTTAGGGGGAAATATCTTGAAGGTTTCCTTTGCAGTGGGGGTGAGGTATAGCAAAAAAAAATTTTGAGAATCATTGATCTTGATGTAGCTGCCTCAGATGAGGCCGGGGCTCCTGGAGACTCACTTAAGGACCATCTGAAAGATAAAGTCTGTAAAGTTGAGAGTACCATCTCACAGGATGGGGTATGTTATCAACAGTGACCAATTTCTCCCATTAGATACTTGGATTATATTTGGAATATTTGGATCTGGGAGCTAAGGGATGGGTTTGGGGGTCTAAGAACTAAGGAAGGGATGAAAATTGTGATATATTATGCTTCTATTATTTTTCAATCCAAAATATTTTCTATCCAAATTGTGTTATGCTGTGCTTTTATTATTTTAATTAAAATATTTTCTAATTCCATTATGCAGTATCTTTGCAATCTTCTAAATATGGGAGGGTTCTAGT